GTCGCCTGGTCGTGCCGCCGCAGTAGCCGGTATCGGAGAGGGAAGGGAACTGCAGAGAGAGAGTTGCGTACCGGGGGGAGGGCTGCGGCTAGGGGAAAAATAGCTGCTTTTAGGGTTTTTCTTTTTTTCTAACCCTAATTTTAATTTACGGGATAACTTTTTTAGTCATTTATTTGAGTTCAACTATTTACGGGATAATTTTAAAAGGACTGTTTGCTTTCCAAATTTAGGGACTTTTTTTTTTTTAATATTCCTATAAATAAAGTTAATTATTAAAATATTACGGACTCTAAACTAATTTTAAAAATAATGTTTATGTAGGCTAATCATCAAATCGTATATTTTTTTAAGAAATTGTAGTAAACGACCTAAATTTGACTGCGTAGATTTATTGAAAAACTTGTTATTCTAACCTTTTGTCAATATCAATTGCCTATGAAATTACGTACATGGAGTGAGCGAGATACCGATATAGCACAATGGGATGTGCAATAGAATTCCACGTGGCCTAAATTTTAGCAATTGAATTTTAATTGTTGCTTGAAGTCTACTGCCCAATCCGACACCAAATTGGTGTTTATTGCTTCATACTACGTTCCCAACCCTGGAAACTGGATGATATGGTTGGTTTTCTAACAAGATTGAAGGTAAAAAATGAAGTGGTTGATAAACATGGTAAGAACAGGAAAATGATTTATGGTCGTCTATGCCGCTTCTCTTCAAGAGACGATACACAAATCCTTAAATACTTGAGCTTTACTATAACATAATACATGTAATTTAATTTCTCTTCCAAACTATCAGTCTAGTCCATTTGCTTTTCTAAAGGGTCAATTGAATTGGAACATCAATACTGAATTTAGAATCAGTATTTTTAGGAGCACGATTACTTAAATGATTCCAAAAAAAATTCTAATTATAATTTTCAAAATTACTTTTAATAACCTATCTGACCAGACTCAAAATTAATTTTGAAAAATACTTTTAATGTGTTAAACACACACACATTTTACCCTTCTAAAAGTCATTTCAAATTCACTCCTCCTCTAAAGTAGAGGCAAACTAAGGTTCCTAGGCAAAACCAACCCGACCTATTTATACCCCTAAATAAAACAAGTTCCACAACATTAACTGTCAAAAACTAGGAAAGCATAAAGAAACAAAGTTAAGACTATCGAATATGTATCATCAGAGGTGCTAAATATTATGATTGCTAACTTAAATTTGGTAACAGCATGTCCTTAGAATCGCTAGAACCCGAACCATAAGTGTATTTGGAAATCATAAAACGGTATCCTTAAAATACATGTTTAGGCCGCTGATACTGATTATACAGCTAACATAGTCGGGAGCAAATTGAGAGCAACATTCACTTCACTTCACTTTCTGGATCATCATTCCTCTGCTTGGGGTGAACGGCTGCAGCATCATAAAACATGAGCGCCTAGGATCAAAATTATGGAACAAGAATCAATAATATAATAAAACAAACTCCAACAACAAACCTGTTATATCCCCGATGCGTTGGGCTCTGAGTCCCACCATAACTGGGGCTATCCCCAGGTTCTGCCACTGTATTTAGCCGCTGCTCGTGACCATTGTCAGGGTTTGACCTCTCTATATCACGAGGAGGACTATAGCTGGCACCACGTCCATCAGTAGGGCTCCCCCTTTCTCTCCCGTAAGGACTGCGACTTCGGTTGTGGACTCGGTCATCGTTTGCTCTTTCCCTCTGATGAGGAGGGGGGCTATGGCTAGGGGGCCTAACATGGTCACTTGATCTCTCTCTCTCCCGTCTATAAGGACTATGATTGGGGCTACGACCACGGCCATAATCAGGAGAGTCCCTGTTTCTCTGATAAGGACTTGGACTACGACGACTCCCATAATCAGGACTGGCCCTTTGTCTCCTGTATGGACTGCGGGTAATACCATTGCCGTAATCAGGGCTTCCTCGCTCTCTTCTATAGGGACTTGGGGATCGCCGCTTTCTATCAGGAGATCTATCACGATTCCTATCAGGACTGTACCCATTTCTTTTCTCGTCATCATCTCGAACAGCATATTCCACCGAAATCACTCGATCCATCAATTTGCTATACACAATAACAATCATCAAATGGCATTACAAATGGCTTAACATGTAATCAGTGGCCTATAACAAGTGAAAAATATCAATGTGATTTTCCTTCAGATGGTTGCAGTGCAGAGGAGAAAAGAAATGTGGAAAACGAAGGATTAATCAAACTCCAATATGATAACTGCAGTGCCCAAATAAAATGCAAATCAACGAAGGAATGTCACCTCATGTTTGTAAGCTCCAATGCTCTAGTGGCATCCTCCTGCAATTCATACTGGACGAATGCAAAATTCCGTCGAATCCTTACACTCAATATCTTACCATAAGGATCGAAGTGCCTCTCCAAATCCCTTGTCCTAGTATGATATGGGTCAAAGTTGATAACAAATAAAGTCTTTGAAGGTCTTGTATTAGTAGAGGATCTCCTCGAACCACCTCCACCTCCACCACCACCTGGTCTTCTAATGCCACGCTCTTGCTACGGAGCAAAAGAGTTATTGATGGAAACAGTTTAAGGTATAGTAAACAAAATCAAATAAAAGTACCACAAAGGAAAAGAATTCATTGGAAGTTGAGCCATATGTATGTATCTATATTACTTTGGTCCACTCAACACGTAGTCTGCGACCCTTTCGGCCAAATTCTCTCCGGTCGAGTGCACGGATAGCATCCTCAGCATCTCTCTCATCCTCCATGTATATAAAAGCAAAACCTGTAAACCAATCAAACAAGTAAAACTGAATAAACTATTCAGGCATCTGTGATACACCAACGATGGTAAAGATGAGAATTGTCCCACCAAAGAATTCCTCAAAATGCCATGTCAATTCTCTCTAACAAATATTCAACAAACCACAAAAAATCTTACCATAAGAAAGAAATTTTCGCAACCATCGTGAAATCTGTAAACTAAGTTACCAGTGAATTTAGCAACAGACCTTGTGTCATGAACTAAGTGGTGTCAAGGAGCAATAATCCAAAACAGGATGTCACATGGTAGGTCTACAAATAGAGAGTGCCTTCTCCATCTATTCTGCAGCCTCAGTTGAGGTCGACAATGTTTCAAGCATGAAACAATGTCTGAAATTGTAGGCATGCAAAAGTCATGAGGAATGGAAAGCAAAGTGCCTGAGGAAAATGTAAGATGGTAGTGCCATTGAGGATCAGTATGAATCTTCTTGGAAACAAGACGAGGAAGCTCGTCACAGGCAGAAAACTCAATTCTGAATAGCCATCCTTATCCAAGAAGATGATTATGAATATGCGAAGAAAATCCTGCACCAAAGAAAATGCTGGCCAAGGCGGTTTAGGATTTAAAAAATACGCTCTTCTTTTCTCAACAATTTTTTGGAACCCCGACCAAAAACTCAACAAATGTTGCCATCTTTCATCTCCATATGCTGGATGATGCTAGATCATATTGTAGAGCACCAAATGCAAATGAGAACAGCCTCTACTTTAGGGGAATTTCCGACAGCAGAATTGCCTTGCGGACGTTGTATCCAACACTTGAATTAGCACCTCCGAGTTTGCTACATTTATATAAATTCTGACATGGCCCCTTTTAACAAGGCCTAAGTAATCCAAACAAAACTGAATACTAGTGGTTAAACCTATTGATCATTCATCCTATTTTATTATATATATATATATAGAATTTTTGTAGATAGTTAAACTAAGAAACTTCCAGTTCCAATGTATATGTTTCTTTAAAGTCCATTTCCAATATTTATAAGTTAAGTTATTTATCAACTGTAAACTGTCATCACAAAAATACTACCAACTTGGTCATATAATGTAGGAGCAAAGTTCATACATAACACGCATTAGCTTAATAATAATGGCCATCAGTAATACATCCATTAATTTTGACACGCGAGATAGCCTATGACGCAAAGTTTCTTGCTTGACTAATTGCGAGATTCATACAAATGGCCAAGTCTGAGTGGAGGAACATTTTTTCAGATCAGAAAAATAACATAGTATAATGTATAATAGGTACAAGAACTCATTGTAACATATACATGATTGTGCATAAATATCTATATTTTTTGTGACAATGTAGCAATGTCGAAGAGGATATCCGAGTCAAATGTACTAAAATACACATAAACTTTTCATTCAGTAAATTGGGTTGACCCTCAAGAGAGAACAAGTGATATACCATATTTTAGTCAAATCTACTTGGGAAAAAACTAAATACAATATGCAGCTTGAAGGCAACCAAGGCAAGAGCCTCTTTGGAGGTGGTTGACCAAGTGACAGTTGCAAATTATCTCGCACCACCTCACCCATTACCATAGGCAACTGATGTCTCCTTGAAAATATTTATCAAATTGTATAGATTGTTTGAAAAATTCTCTTTTTTTATTTTTAGTTTGTTCTAACGGTGGTTTGATTTTCATAATTGAAGTTGTTCTGAGGGCTGTGAACACTTGATTGAACTTCAACATCTGCAAGCTGCTGATTACAGTGCTTAAAAACAATTTTCAGAAATGGCAAAACAACCGCCAAACAGCCTCTAAGTCTAAAGTTACCAGGAACAGATCTAGACCAAAACTGCTCAAAGCCATTCTTTACGAACCAGAACAAGGCACATTAGTAGTTCATCCTCTAGTAAACCAATATCCAAATGAATTCAGGAATCAAGACACAAACAGATATGCTATGGCTAGAAGCTCACCAGATTTCATATCTACTCTATCMACTTTTCCATATCTACCAAAAAGTCTCTCTAGATCAGGCTGTCGAGCATCATACTCAAAGTTTCCACAAAAAATTGGCTTCATACTACCTGAACAGAAGTAGAGAAAAAAATTTAACGTGTTTCTCTCATGATACAAGGATAACCAAAAAAAAATATACAAATGCAGCATCAGGGTTCATAAAACTTAATTTCCCCACATCAAGAAGGCAGTTATTTGAAACTAAACCCAAAGAGTAAAGAACATGTTTAAAAATCCACAACTATGCACTAACCCTCTGCAAACAAATCAGCAAGTCTGTGTCCATTCTTTTTTCATAAATTTTTTTTACAAAATAACATATCAGATAACGTATTTTTAAATACATATCACTTTTATATTATTTTTAAAAGTAATATATTGTGATTATTTAAATATTACGTGTAATATGTTATCATCAGTTCTTGTAAATCAAAAACTGTATTGCTGTGTTCGTTACACCTTTTAAAAAAAAAACTCAGCTTTAATTAAGATAGATGAAAGGAATACATGAGGGCATACATAAAGACAGCCAGAAGCCAAACTAAAAGACGGGGTCCGGTCCAATCAAGCTAGATCTGATCTAAAGAGTAATTATAAAAAACTTTGAACACATAAGCCTAAAGAGAGACATGATATCTAACAAGATCCCAAACCTCCTCCTAGAAACTCTCAACATCTCAATCCACAACCCCACAAAATAGCAAGAAAGCCTACCCAGTCTCCTATCTCGAATCTCCACCCTAACATGTCACCATCGAGGGAAAAAAAATCTACTCATGTGCCTACCTATTCTCCACCCTATTTAATAAAGCCCTCACCATTTATTAACTCGCTTGCAGAGAAGACCCTTTTACCCGAAGGCCACTTCCTTCACCTAGGTCCTTGCAAGTTGCACACTCCAAACCAGCATTGACATATCCACTTACATCACTTAGACCTTTGTTTCACTCCAATCCTACATTGAGAGACCCACTGCGGCCACTTAGCCCATCCCCTCAAACTAAACCAGCTCTTTCTAACCCATGTGGCTTACCCCACTGCTAACAGAGTGGTTGAGTCATTGCCAAACCCCTTCTCTTCCTGACCCTGTGCTAGTGAACAATGCAAGAAAACAAAAAGCAATCACCATTGACTCTAAAAGAACCTTCTTCACAAAAGGCACCCATCATTCTGCCACCATTGACGACCTTGAACCAAACATGAATGACATTATCTAGCCCTTACCCATACACTGAGGAGTTGACTTCCCCAATCCTTACCCACAGCCTCCAGTGATTAATCAGCTTTACTAATTATAGGTCCTAAATACCCTGGATTCCCTCCAAATACCCAAGCAAGAACTTCCCCGAATGAGTGGTCATTTCTTAAATGTGGAACAGCCCCTGTTCCCATTATTTCCCATATTTGCCTCATCATGGGCAAATGGGTACACAGACAGGAACGACCCACTCCTCCCCATATCTCCACATGGCCTCTCCTTGGCTTTATACCAATGGCCTATGCATCATGCCCATCTACAATCAAATGAAGAAGAATAAGCCTTCCAAGAAACAAAACTTTGACCATAGGGAAATGAATAGTTTGCAATATTCCATAAATTATGACAAAACAGTCTCATCCTTACAGGTTAAAGGGTCGCTGATTACTATGTCCTCATCAAAGACCACATCCTCGAATATAATCCAAGTTTTTTTATTCTCCAAGAGATGTAGTCTAATACTGTTGATAAATATTAGGAGACAAGAACAATGATTGGGCTTCTCTTGATGCCCAAGGATCCTCTAGAGGCATTATTATCCTTGGAATGATTCCCCCACAGGTGTGTTCTCTCTATCCCTTAATGTCTCTTTGATAAATATGGGCTTCTCTTGATGTCTCTTTGATTGCTTGTTAGAGCTTCTGGCTCTCAAGCATAAACAGTCTCCATAAAGCATAGTTTAGATCCCAATTTTGGCAAGAGCTATCTGATCTTTCTTATTTGTGTGGTGAAAACTGGATTCTTGGCAGATATTATAAATTTTGCATATGGTCTTCTGAAAAGTCTAATGGAAACCTCCCACTCAAAGTATGAAACGTTTCAATATATTCATTGAACAAGTGGCATTGATGGACTTCCCTCTGGCTCTCCTTAACAATAGATTCACATTGTCCAAATCGAGGGAGAAGGTGTTGTGACTGAATTTCATTAGAGCATTTATTTGGTCTACATGGATTGAGCAAAACAGTCACATCTTCAACCATAGAGAGCAACCATATGACATGCTCATGCAATGTATATCTTTATTGGCTCTCTCTTGGTGCAAAAATGCCTCTAACTTTCAAAATTATAGTTCATCTTCCTTTCGGTCCAATTGGAAGTGCTTTTCATAGCTTCCCTCAAGGGTTTCTTCCCTATCTTTTGTATTAATATTTCATACCATCACTAAGATGTTTCTAAAAAAAATTGAGTTTCTAAAAAATTTAAGGAAAACAGCATAAATGCAACAACCGAGTTCATGAAACCTAATTTCACCACATCAAAAAGATAGTTATTTGAAACTAATTCTAAGAGTGAAGAACATATCTAAAAATCTATAACAAATATGCACTTACCCTTTGCAAAAAAGTCAGCGAGTCTGTCCCATTTTTTTCCTTGAAAAAAATTACTTTTTACAAAGTAACATAAAAAATAATGTATTTCAAGAGCAAAATACATTTTTTGGTCCCTAGGGTTTGAGGTAGATGTCTTTTTGGGCCCTAGAATTTCAAAAGGGACACTTAGTCCCCAAGGTTTGTAAAACTGTTCTAAATGGTCCCTAAGATGCTTTGACCATTCATGGACTAATGTTAATGGACTAATGTTAAGATGATGCGGTAGTTAAGTTGTTGACTGTACAGAAGCATGGATACAGACACGAGACACAGATACCACACAACACGGATATGGACACGACGACACGTTATTTTCTAAAAATCTACGTTTATGAAAGTATACAATTTTTTTTTAAGTATATATCATTTTCATACCAAGAAAATTCAAAGTCGATAAGTTAGCACATTTAAAAAATGAGTGATGTATTTTGCTCTCAAATTTTATTATTTTGTGCTATATTACTATTTATGTCTATTTCTTATGCTTAAGAAGTGTTTGATACGTGACTATCTTTTTAAGTATATATCATTTTTATAACAAGTGTTGAATCCATATTCACTATGTACAACTAGTATGTGACACAAATCTATTGAGCTAACAAGTGTCCGATAAGTGTCCAATAAGTGTCCAATAAGTGTTGGAGTGGCCGACACGGACATATTGCCCAAGAGTCCATATTTCTTAGATTGCTGACTTGACAAAATATATAATTTAATAATATTTTTATTGTTATTGGATTTTTTATCTTCTTCCCTCTTCTCCTTCCTCTCTCCTTCTCCTCCTCCTCCCTTTCTCCATTGTTGCCACTCAAGATCTCCTTGCTGCTGTCTGCCGTCTCCTCGTTTTACATTACGAGGAACCACTCTTTCTAGATCTAGAAGAGGAAGTAAGCAGCGACCCGTTCAAAGAGGGTTTTTTACTAAGTCCTTCATTCTCTACACAAAAACACTACCTAACTAAGTTTAACATCAGGCTATCAGTACACTTCATAAATGAACATTATGAACTTCAAGTTTTGTCAAACAATCATGATCTTTTCAGCTTAACTCAAATATGTATTACGGAAGTAGCCCTTTTCTTAAAAATATAACTCTAACTACAGTCATGTCCTTCACTAAGCTCAGCAGAAGCCCGTACGACTGCCATTTACATATCTTAAAAGGCATATCTTATTATTTTCATCCAACAACAAGAATTATTTATCCCCATACAGTTCTAGTACACACACAATAAGCAACAAGAAGCTGAACAACCAGAACAAGATACTTGCCCCCATGTAAAAGTATAACAAATATAGTGGTTTTTGTAGCATAAAAAAGAACAATAAAATTACAGCAAATTTTTCTGTGAATAACTTAAGAATAAAAAAACGAAAGTTCCACTCATACAAAATACATTGGACATTGACATAAAATATACCAAAAGTGCAAGGGGAGCAACCCAAAACTGCAAAAAGCAAGCAAACTTAAAAGGAAAATGCCAATAATTAGAATACGAAAAATCTTTTTGAGATCTTGTAGAAGAATACTATATCAAGTTTACTTAATTGTAACTATTCATTCTCAAGAGAACTTTATACACCAAAGAATTCTTCACTTCAGCCACATACGCATATAGAATGAAATTCACTTGTCATTTTTTATACTTTTTCTGTTCTACTTGTCTCCATCTCTAATTATAGATTAGGAACTTAAGTTAACCCTTACCCTCCTCACTTTTTAACTTTCATAGTCAAGTTCGATTAGTTGGAACTATTAAATGGCCTTTACTCAAGAATACTCCACCTAGCAAGCATGCTTAAAGTCTACTTCTAACAAAAAAAATTATAATTCTGTACTGGGGTAAGTAAATGATGGAGAATCAGTTAACTAATTCATTGATAGGGAAAAAATTTAAATTCTCAGTAAATTACAGATAATTACACAAACCCAAATATATATATATAGCAGACGGGGAGAAACAGTGAAGATTAGGGCCAAAGCATTACTAGTGGGTTTTTCTTTGAAATTGAGAGAAACAGGGCAAGGACAACCAAATTTAATGGTACAGTACAGGGAAGCTGACATAACTTACCCCTCAGGGCAAGGACAATCAAGTTCACTGATTTTCCAGAATTTCAATTTTTAAATTCTAAAATTCAAACGACTCAAAATTGTAAAGTCACTCGTCAAGCATCAGTACTAAATAAATGGCTAAAACAAGTATGAATGTCAACCTCGTGATTTAATTGCAGATCCGGAGACGAGAGCAACGAAAGTAGGGACGAAGGGTAGAATGAACAAAGTTATGACTTACCCGATCTTAGGGCAGAGAGGGCAA